AAAATATCACTCTCCAAGTGAAACAAGGTAATCTAAAGCTGCCCATCTGGGAAGAGTGATTCTGAAAAAATTAAGATCTGATGGTTCTAAAGAGTGTCTCTTCCTGACCTGTTACAAGAGAACAATAAATCAATCACTATGACAGGAAATTCAGACAGTAGCCATTGCCTTGAAATTCAAGAAAGTCTTTCAGCTTTCACCAACCAATTTTGGATAAGATGCTGCTAGGCCTGCCATTCTCTTTTCTCCACCATATATTTCACCAGCAGCAATATAAATTTGGATGTCAGGATCAATATCGAGCGCCCTCAATGTGAGGGCAGTTTCCTCAGGTGTCAAAGGACACAATCCATCTTTCCTCTTCAAATCTGAATTTATTATTTTCTCTTTCCACCATGGATAAGCATATCTGACAAAGCATGATAATTGTAGAATCGAATAATTAAATAGTTAATGTGCCTTAGTTCAACTTAACCATCATGCAAAAATATATACTAACCTCATTCTTGTCAATTCCTCCACCTCTTCATCATTACAACCTTGAGTGCAGCCAGAAAATGCCAACATGTCCATTTCATATCTAAGATGGAGAACAAGGAAACGCCCATTTTCCCTTAGAAGCTTGATAACTGTTCTACCCAACTCCTCTATTTGAGGTGTAAATCTCAGAGCACTAAAATTTACACGGCAGCGCAGCTTCTGAATTTCTAATGGTTGCCCATTATTGGCAAGTCTAGTATCAGTTCTGTTGAGGTGTAGAACTTTGTACTTTCGTATCAAAGGAAGGATCTGGCATAAGGCAAATGAAAGCAAAAGCTAGTATGAAAAAGTGAAGGGAAGAGGAGAAAATTATAGAATGAAGAATTGTGCTTTGTTACTATCTAAAAAGCCTAACTTCTGATATATAGTTGATTCTTCAAACTGATTGGGATTTTTAGCATGTGCTTATTTTAATTTACGAAATTTGTATACCCTAAACTAACAAGAAATAGAACATGAAAGGAACTGACCTGATTACGATAGTAAGATATATCAGACCAACTGATTGGTGGCATCGTATAAAACATTCCTGCTTCCACTCTCTTCTTAAGCCTAGGCGGCAACTGTTTCAGTATCCGGACCTCATCTCTCAATGATGTAATGAAATGATCAACATCAAATATGTCCTCAAAATTACTGCCATTTATGGAAGCACCAAAAATGTACAAAGTCAATTCAAGTTCATTATTTGATTTTAAAGAAAACAACATAATGTAACTTTCAGGGTTCGGTAGCAGCGCAAATTATAGAAGTCTACACACCTAGGATCAGCCCAGAAGGATGTTTTATCCAGCTCAGGGACAATAAGTGTAACATTTAGGTATCTTGCAATAGCAACCATATCACAAATCTGTAAAACATTCCAGAAACTCAAAATTAGTCACTGAAGAAATATAAACATTCTGGAAAATACTTAGGTCAGAGAAGCCACGAGCGCATTGTAACCACTCACCGCTGCCCTCATTTGATTGAGACCTCCATTGCATGAGACCATCAAGTAACCGTTGTTTCTATAAATTCCTAATGACAACAAGAAAAGCATCAAATAGAAAATGTCAATATTAATCCACCAACCTAGACACATAAAGGGGCATCAAAATAAAAGTATACACACAATGCAATCTCATGAAAAGAACTTAAAGGAATTTATGAGATGCAATAAAGCTTCAGGAAGAGTTCCAACCATGTCTTACCCCAAATATTGCTCATCATGTGTTAGACAACTTATAGCCTGAATTCTATCTACCTAAAAGAAATTGAATTACTCTTTTCTGATCATCTTTCAGGCTGGACTAAAAGACTATAATGATTATATGCTGATTCACGGAAATGTTATGTAAATTTATTAGTATAGCTACCTTAAACAAGAAATGACAAAATAAAAAAAACCAAGCAAGTCTCCAATTAAAAGAGTTCATTAAAAAAAAAAAAAGAGAGAACCAAAAGCAAGAAAAATCTCCAAAACTGTCGAAATCATTTTAACTTTCCCAACATTTATAGGTTTCCCGTTGAACAAACAGACCAGACCTCACACTTTAAAGGGAAAAACTTCAGATGAAAACGCAACCTCTCCCCAACATACGGTGCCCATTCTATCCATCTCCATCTCCCACAAGCAAAAAAAAAAAAGGAAGGAAAAAAAGAAGAAAAGAAGAAATCTTAAAATCCTCAGGCAGAGTGACTCACTTTTGGGAGGAAGAACCCGAGCTGAAACCGCGGGAACATTATCCTGCAAAGCATCCATGACGACTCCTGACTCGTGGGAGAAACAAGAAGGCCAGCCCGTCAAGACACGAGGTCCCCACATCTCTCCGATCGCCGTTAACTGAACGATACAAGTCCAGAGTAACACCGACGTGGTTGCCCGTATCATCCACATCTTCATTCGCGAACCCTTCAGCTTCTCCAATCTATTCTCTCCTCCTTTCAATAAACCCATCTCTCTATCTCTGTCTCTGTACTCACTCTTTCTCTCACTTCTCTCTACCCTGCACATTTACTCACAGCTCATTCCAGACTCGCCCGGTGCTACAAAAACGAATATTGCTTCACCTACTTCCGCTTTTCGATCAATGTAGAATCCAAATAATGGAACAAAAGACACTTGAAACTCACAGTCCTGGCTATGATTATTGTTTCCTTCTTCACCCACGCGGAATCTCCTAAGATCCAGAAGTTCCAAAAATAGAACGAGATCCCAAAACTTCCACAAACAGCACAAAACAACGCGATCGAATTCACTGAATCTCACCCCAAAAATAGCATCAAACAAAGAAAAAAAAACCCCAAATCTCCCTCTCACATTACACCCATCCAATTTCTCACCTCTATCCAAACCCTATACCGCACCGATCACAGTATTAAAAAAATGCAAAACAAAACAAAAACAAAACCAGACAAAAAAAACAAAACAAATCAACAAATCACCTTCCTCTCCTCACTCTATCTAACATTCAGACGAACAAATCCTTAAACCCAAAAAAACCTCCTAAATTCTCCCGTAGTTCAGCTCCCACCTTCGCCGGAAAACCCCGCCAGCGAGCACAGGAGCGCTAGTACCCAAATCAAACCCAATAAAAATAAAGCCGAGCCAAAATGTGCCACAGATATAGAGAGGATATGAGGAAAGGGTGATGGGTTATGTATTAACTAACCCAATACTCTTGAGAGAGGGAGAGAGAAATAAAAAGATGATCGCGGCCCGTACACAGATCCGTCACTGCTTGTTAACCATGGGTAAGGTCTCTCTGTTTTTGGCTTGAGGTGGTTAGGCCGAACCAGCCAATAAATGACGGCCAGCTAGGTTGAGATCCGGTCAGCCCCACTGGAAGTATTATGTGATTACACGTGGCGTACATCACAACCGTAGATTCTTTATACGTGCTTCCATCTGATTGCCTGCCGGATGTGGACTCCCTGTTTAAGACGTGGGCCCGTTCCCATTTTTGATTCCCGTGTTTGATACGCCGACAATTTCTCGCGAGAAGCCCCGATCATGCCGATAAATAATAAAATATAATTTGTTTTTTTTTTTTTTTTTGTATTTTACAATTTTTTATTATTAAATTAAGCGGACGAGATAATTACATAATTAGAAGTTAATCTTGACTCTAATTACGTGAAAAATATATAATTAATACTAATTGCACTTATTGTCTTGTATGTGACAAACATGCACAACTCAGTGACAAATTTACACTGTTCGTGATTGAACTTTTGTCCCCCCCCCCCACCCCCCCGTAACATTTTTTTTCCTCTAATTTTTTGGTAAATTAAAAAAATAAAAATACCCATAATTAATAAATATTTTTTGAGTTTTCCACTAAATAAAAAATAAATATTTTAAAAAAATAATTTTATTTTTATTATTGTGTGACAGTTGTGATAGAAACAGTCAATTAAAATTGCTAGTTGTTTCATAATTACTCCCACATTATATGGTTGAATTTGGGGTTGGTGCTCGTTTAAATATGATTTTAATTCTTTATTTAATTATTAAAATTAGTGGATTTTAATTTAAATCAAATTGTTATAAAAAATGTATAATTCAATTTATTTAATATTAAAAACTTTATCTAAAGCTTACATAAAAAGTTAAAATATCTTATAATTAGACCACATATAATCTTATTAATAAAATTCATACTAAAAAGGGAAAGAAATATTAAAAAATATATATATTGTGTTATAGATCAAATTAAATAAATTTTAATAATATTTATGTTATGATCTTACTAATTATTATGTATTCAATGATCGTACCATAAATAAAAATGTTACATTTTAACAATTAAACTTAATAAATTATTAATTAATTTATTAACAAAGAAAAAACCATATAAATTAGTGTAATTTAATATAGCATTGTATTTTTATTTTTTAATATGTCCCTTAGGTATTAGAATTTAGAAATCGGCTACTATAAATAATTTTGCAATCATTAATCTTTATTTGGGGTTTAATATTCAATTATATCGAAGTAATTAATACTTAAGTCAAATCTAACTCCAACCAATTACGTGTGACAAGTATCCAATAAAAAAATATAGCACATTAATTAATAATCACGTTTTAGTATAAAGTTTTTACTTGTTGTAAAAATATATAAAATCGGTAAAAGTTTGTATCTATAATGCTGATTTAATTCCATAAATGAATATTATTATATGCATCAAAATTCAATTAAAAGTTTAATTGGTAAAGAAATATCCAAAAAATGCATAATTTATTATATTTAAAAAATAAGAAATTATATTTTTAAAAATTACATCTCATTTTTTACTTATAATTTCATAAAAATAGATATTACAATTCGAATTTTTGAATACAACATAGATATGTTAATTTTTATTCGACTTAAAAATGATATATTCGAATCCTTTGAATCTTGCAATATCAATAAATTAATTTTTTATTTCTATATTTTTTAAATAATAATTTTGATTAAAATTATATGAAATTCAACAATAATAAATGATAATCTAAGATACAAGATTTGCCTAATTATAAGAAATTACTAGATGAACAATATTTTTGTAATAAAAAAAATAGTATTGTAAATAATTTGTAATAATAATTAATTAGTATCATAGTTAATTATTTCAACATTAAAATTAAAAATAAAAAAATCATAATTAATTATTAAAATTAAAAAAATAAATATTTAACATAGTATTCTTAGCCATTCATTTTATTTTACTTTTTCAGGGCTGAGAATCCAAAGGAGAAAATAAAATGAAAGCGACGGTGTATTGGCGAGAAGACTGTGCCGACTGGCTTAATCTTTTGTACGGTTCCATCCTGTGTGACTCGCCGTGATTCTCCGTCATATCATTCGTTCTTCCGTTAAGACGGCTCGGGTTACTGTCAGAACGGTCGACTGATCTACACCGCACGATCGTAAGAATGCAACGTGTCGAAATCTTATGGCACGACAACAATACTCGACACCAGAATGGTGGGTCCCTTCTCCCTTAGCCGACCTGTTACGCGCATAGTCCAGTTCACTAGATTAGTTTGTCCCACGAGAGACCAAAGTTGATTTGCTGATTTCGTGCACGTGATATTCATGCGCGCCTGGTGTTGGAAAATTATTGGCCGATGAAGTCCACGCACCCTTGAAGTGCGGTTGGGATGGATGGAAGTGAATTTAACACGAGTACGAATTGGCGAATCGGGACTAGGCCCCCTTAGGTCTCTACGCTCTAGACGAAAAATAAAAATTGGTGAATCATCTAATCAACGAGAAATTTGCATTTATTTGATTTAATAATTTTATTAAAAAATAAATATATTAATGAATTACATAATAAATAATATATAAAATAATGTAATAATTATTGAATATTAATAATCGGCATTTATAAATATAAAATTTGACCATAAAATATTTATATATATTATGATAATAAAATAATTAAATCGTAGTTATCAAGTAAGATTTGAAGACAATTAATTAATTAATTATTTATGTAAAATCTAGTAGTTTAAATTAAAACTAATTTAATTCAATATTTGACTTTTTTAGAATTTTTATTTAGTTTATAGTGATAAATATTGAGTATCAATCTTTAGCATTAAAAGCTACCAATTGGAGATTTTAAATAATATATTTTTTATTTTTTAAAATAGTAACGTCTTTATATATATATATATATATATATTTTTAATTAACGATATGACCTACTAACTACTGGTCACACCCATGACCAAATGAATAAATATGGCATCAAATATCTTTTATTTTATTTTAGAATATAAATTTTTAACTCTTTTTTATTGTTTACGAAATATAAAATAAAATAAAATTTATATATATTTTTTTCAAATTCAAATATAAGATAATGCTTTTGTTCATCATTATTTTTTAAGTATATGAAATTAAAAAAGTTGAGAAGACAATTATAAAATTATTCAATAACTTGTACTATTTTTTTTTAAATTGTCAAATTTTAAATGATGATGATTAGTCGTCTTCAATAAGATCCTCAATAAAAATACAATAAAACTTAGAATAATATTTGGATATCTAACAAATTAATTTATGAATTTTAATTTCATAGATATAATACAACGTTTAAACGAACATAAAGTTTTAATTTCTCTTTCCTAAATCTTAACATTATATTTCTTATTCTTTAAATTCACGATTTTTAAATAAAGCATAATGATCAGCTCCATCAATATAGTAATAAATTAAACTTTTGATTCTACTGTATGTACTATTATAAAAAAAAAGTACACTCTCACTAATATATCAATAAATTAAATTATTTATTATACTGCATCAAATATTATAAATCAATTATAATCTTACTAATATATTAATAAAGTAAATTTTTTTTATTATATTACATTAAGTATTATAAATAAATCACTACGTACTACATTGAAATAATAAAAAATTTTATGCTTTCATTAAAATTTGAATTCATAATCTTTAAATAAAACACAGTAATCTAATACCATATTGGTGATTTCCGATACAAATAAATTTAATTGTGTAATAATTTTAATATTTGAACTAAACGTAAAATAAAATATCAAATTTTTATTGGAAGAATGAGGAGGAGGGGAACTAAAAATCTACTTTGAAAATTTCAAAATATGAGAAAAAGATAGTTATAAATATTGAACTATTTTTTTGTTTTGTTTTAATTAATTATATAAGGGCAGTACATATAATACAAAGAAGAAAAATGACATGTCATTATTAATGACTTAATCATGTCATTTCGAATAAGGTAACATGTCATTATTAATGGCTTAATCATGTCATTAGTGATAATCCTACCATCATAAACACACGTTTATTTCTCCCACATTCCTTTTAAATGTTTTAGAATGGAATAAGAATATATATATATATATATATGCAATAATAAACTACATAAGCGTTTTAGTAATTAACAGCAATTTACTAGAGACAAAAAGGGTTTCACGAACATATATATATACACACACATAAAGTTCAAGGTTTATATTGTCACATTGAACCACATTATCATATTTTTATTCATTTAGTTATATAAAAAGGTGTGTGTAAATCTACGATCATTAGTTTATACTACATAAAAATTTATTATTAATAATAACAATTACTATATATATATATATATATGGTAGTACTCTATATTTAAATATATTATTTCTTAAAAAACATTTGAATTTAATTATTATCAAAATATCTTTGTAGTTAAAAATCAATGTGATTTTAATTTTTGAATATTTTAATTTTTGATGAATTTTGGTGGTGTTTATTGATTTGTTAGATGTCGGTCGCATTTTATAAAAAGAATAAATGAAGTTCATTTTATATTAATATCATGTCTTATAATTCATTAAATATAGAGACACGACATCACCATATATATATATATATTATATTTTAATAAGTTTTTTAAGGGATATTTTATTTCTTCATTTCAAGAAAATAATTTCCAGCCATGAAAATCAAGTATAGATTATATGTATATCTCTTTTTTTTTATTCTGTTGGCATGTTTCTTTCTATACCAAACTGATATTTGGATTACGAAATCAAATATATATATATATATATATATATATATATATGGTTTCAGAAATAAAGTACTACAAGATAATGTCTACATACATGTCTAGGAGGTGACAATAATCAAACTTCATATACATATATATATATATATATATGCATACGTAAATATACACACACACACAAACACACACACACAGAATATATTCAAATATTGCTATCTATCCAGATCAAGAATCAAACTGAAAATAGTTTTTTTAAAAAAATTAGAAGATTTCAAGACACAATCAACCGGTGTCATATGCATACAAACATACACACACATATATATATATATATATATATTATATCGAAGTATTGGTAGCCACCCAGATCAAGAACCAAACTAAAAATAGATTTTTTTTTAAAAAAAGTCAGAAGATTTGAAGATACCAAAAGTAATTACACATAATCAAACATGACACCCAAGAATCATGCAGACTTACTGCAAACGTAGAAGAAAGCAAAAGTAAACGCAATCGAATCTCTTATGTATTCACATGCCGTTATCACGTTTAATAAAAATAAAAAAAGCGCCAAAATGAAAAGGTAAACGTGGGTGCGTATATATATATATAATATATATATACATACATACATACATACATACATACTGCGTATTTATCTCGGGAGTTTGACGAGTGTCCTACAATTAATGAATTGAAGAGGATTTTGATTTGCTTATTCATCAAGTTATAAGCAGCTTGATCCATGTGTTTTTCCTAAAGATTAAAGACTACTGCATGCTACCTAGATCCATTCCAGACTTCAGAGATTTATTATATATAATGAATTCATATATATATATATATGTATATATGTAAATATTGTCTATTTCATTTTGATATATTTAATAAAGGTGATTACAAGACAATTGGTGCGCGGTCGTACTGGGACATGCATGCATATGCGTCAAGAATTTCCAAACATTGATTACACGAGGTACCTTATTCTTGAAAAAGTTATGTACACACACACACATATATATATATGTATGTATAATAAACACACATATATATATATGTAGTGAACTTCAGAATTGCCATCATATTGTAGCATTGACATGTTAAATTTTCACTTAGGTTATTAATGCCAATTAGAGAGCAGTTTAATTAAAATAATTTAGAAAATTTTAAGTGTGAATACTTTTTTTGTAAAGTATGAATATATATATATATATATATTCATAATAAATAATACACAGACATTAATTGTAATACCATTAAAATGATCATATCTAATTCTATATTGAAGTTCTTGCAGATACTTACAGATCAAATAGGGTACAAATATTCAAAGTAAATATCATATTTATAATGTATTGATGTTTTCAAAACACCTAAATGCTTCTAAAAAAAAAAGGATTTCAAATTCTTGAAGCTATCAATATTTGTGAGGCCAAGGATGATCAAGCTCTCTATCTTTACGTGTTAATTAACTACAAACACCATGTTGTTCCCTTCGAATATCCGTCAAGACTATATACACATATATGCCTAATTTGTATAGAGAAAAAGATTCAAGGAAAAATGGGTGCCTTGTCCTAGACAATCTAGGAGGAGGCACTGAATGATCCGAGTCATGACTACATTTAAAAATCCAATCTTCAAGCAGAAAATTATGACAACAAAAAAAATGGGGAAAACAAGAAGGGAAAATGAAAGAATTATTAGGGTTAGGAGGCTGGCAAATGAAGATGGATAACGATGATGAAGAAACAGCTTACTTGTTCATTACTGTTATAGTTTCTTGGCCATAGAATCTGTTCGAGTTCAGTACACACTGTCTCATACTCCCTCTTTCTCATCATCCTGCAGATTCCAGTTAGTTTACAACAAATAGAAAATAATTGCAGATTCAATTCCATCAAAACAAGTCTAACACAACCTAAGAACATAAGAAATTAGGACAATGGCTAATCCCCGAGAGTTATATTGAAATAGAAGAGGGTTTCAACTCCATTCAAATTCTTCGATCCCTATTAATGGAAACTCAACGCATCAAGGCATATATAGAAAGTTTAAGCATGCCAAGACAAGTAACATTTATGAAATTGCATCTTTTGTATGTTGAATTTGTCTTGGAGAATCAGAACTTGGACTTATATGTGCTGCATTATGCTTGATTAGCTCCTTTATTTCCTTAGAAGAAAAAAGAAAGAAAGAAAAAAAAAAAAGAAACTCTGGTTCCTTTACCTATGTACTATTTCGAAATAGTAAGTCAGGCCACACTGAAAAAAAGAAAGTTCAAGATCGTGTTGATTATATTGTGGGAATCCAAAAACAGAATGCTCTCTTCATTTTTCATTTCAAGTAGTAAAATGCATTAATATTGATTTCCCAATGGCCACAAGGACAAGCCTCCTTTTCTGGAAACAATATGGCTGAGATGTGAACTGAGTCTCAGTTTACTTTGTCAGATTTGAATTGATATACACACAAAAACATGAAATAATATAGAAAGTGCATATATAATAGCGACAACGTATAAGGGAGAATAGAGAGTAAATGTTTACTTACTGAACTATCCACCATCTTGTCCAAATCATAATCGAAGTTTCCATCATCATCATCACCTGGAATCAATAGAAGGCAAGAACATTTTAAAAGGCACAGGACTAGTAACTCAGTGGCAGAACTAAAAATTTAGTTTTTCTTTTTATCTTTTTCGGGTTAGGGGGCAAAAATAATAATTCTGTTGCAAATAAATGAGGCTGAGGTGGAGCAACTTAATTACATTTTGCACAATCAAGAGGGAGCAACTTAAAAGTCTTGAACAAAAACTAAGGTTATTTTCAGAGAATTAGTCTATCTGCTTCCATGTGAATTGTTTAAGACAATCAACAATGTTTTTAAGGACTGAACACAGCCTTGACTGCATGGTAGGACTGACCGATCTATTTATCCAAATGCAACCATATCATCCAAACAAGACTGCAGTAGTAGGTGTTTTGGTGATTTAACTATCCAAGGAAAACTGAAGGTGCGTGAGTGACTCAATAGAAGCTTTAGATTTACCTGGATCGTCATCACTGTCTCCACCCAAAAGAAATATATCCAAGTCTTGATTGCTAGGTGACAGCTTAGAAGTTTTACTCTGCTGTGTTTGTTCCTTGACTTCCGGTTTTGAAATCGTTTCAACTTTTGGAGATTCCATCACTCTGTCATCCTTTACCTGATCTGCAGATTTAAGCTTCAATTCCTCCATATATCGCTTTTCATATCTAGAAGCAAAGTTAGAAATCAGTTATATAGAGTAAATGGATTCACATGAAAATCTCTCTATGTTGCATATTAAAACATTTTAGCTGGCTGAAGAATCATGTGGTACTATTTTGTTGGTAACTTGGATATTTACAGGCTTGACTATTCCTGGCCGATTGACTGTATTTTGGTAAGTTGTTATGTCGTCAATCTTATGATTAGTTTATCCATTTTGTTGGCTTCTCTTGATTGTTATAGTTTATTAATGTAAATAGTTTATTTCTTTAGTGTACCCCTTTATGGATTAAGATAACAATATCCAAGACCTAGAAAAAAGCTGAAAAGTAAAACAGTTAAACTTCATTAAAATGAGGGAATTCAAGAAATACCTTCGCATTCATCTAGAGATTCGTGACAAGCATGAACATCTCAGCTATATGTTTATGCACCTATATAGTCTGACGTATTCTTTTGGTAAGGAAAGGAGTGTTTGTTAAGATAATTAATTTCAGGAAAAAAGAAACCTGACTTGAACAGATTAAACTAAAATAAATTTTATTTGATGTGTCTCGTAGTCCCAGCTGGTAATATATGATGTTTCTAGTGCTCTAAATTCAACTTCCTGGAGAGCATTACAAGGATATAATTTAGCGGAAAAACAGCATCATTTATCTAGTTGTTAGAGTACCAAAGCATTCTGAATAATTGTTTTATTTATTATGTGCACATTGATCACTTCAGTTTTATTGTCGCAACGGTGTGAAGAGCAAGTTTCTTTTTCTCTTTTCATCTGGGATTGAAAAGCTTTCTATGCCTGGATTTTCTTATACTCTCCTATTTTGTTATCCATTTCTTCTCACATGCTTTCTATATGCGTATATATCAATATATATGCAAATATTGTTATGTGTGCATGAGATCACATGAGACGACTGATCACACCATTGTTCCTTGTGGATCTAAATATTTCTTTCAACTATTTCTTAATAATCAACATTATGCACTACCTATTGGATCACATGTATGTCCTAATAATAAAATATGAAATAGATTCCGTAAAAATGAATTTCAATAGAAAAGGCAATAACGAATCTGAATTCTATAAGTCAACAGTGGGATTTAAATCGAAAAGATTGGTTGCTTACGGTGCAACATGATTGTTGACAATCATGAAATAAATCCTCCAAAACTTCCTCTCTCGCATAACACGTGGACACAACTGATATCGTAACTCTGAAATTTCCTGTAACAGAAAGTATGAAACAGAGAAGATCATTGAGCATACCAGTGAGTAAAAAGAGTGCAAAAAATAAAATTTACATAGATGGACCACAAGTAAATAGGAAGTAGAGAATTTCATGAGGCAAGCCGTGATAATCCAAAAAATCATGATATAGTAACTAAGTACTTTAACCAAACTACTAGTCATAAAGGACTTTCCCACAAATAAAAGGAAGCTACTGGAATTAAGAGCCATGAAATGAAACTAAGACTAATGTCTAAACTTTCATCTTAACACCATATAAAATGTTATTGAAAGGGCAGTCCCACTTGATGATTTTTTGCTTTGGAAAATGACAGACCATTATAAAATAAGAATATAAAGTTTGCATCTTATGTAGATCAATGCATATAATAAAAGCATGCAATTAAAAATTTGATTTAAAAAACTGCAAGAAATAAAATTGAAATATACATAACAACCATGTCATGAAACAATGCTAATGGCTCAATTATGTCAAGGAAATATGACATGAAAATTGATCGGTAGATGCTGGGCCTTCAAAGTGAACTGTAAAAATTATCTATTCAAAGTGAACTGTAATTTTTATCTAAAACAGTTATCTTACCTGGACTGTAAGTTTAAAGTAAAGAATCTGTATCAAAAGAACATAGGACTGGTATGATATGGTTCCTGCATACTGCAAATCAATAGAAATCTACAGACATAGTGATGGAGGACTCCAGCACTAAGCATGTCAGACTTGATATTGGCTGACCCTAAGTACATAGCTGCAGTATAACTTCAGGGATAAAACTTAGGAAAGAAAACCGTAGAACTGTAAATATCAAAGACTTCTATTTCTATCTTCAATAATGAAGCATCCTACTTAAGTTGTTCCAAATGAAGCATCCTACTTAAGGAACGGTTAAATTTTCCAATAACCACTTCAACATCACAATGAGAAAGATATGCTCATGTCTAGAAACAGTCTAACATAATCCCGTCCCACTTGTCACTGATGAACTTTTTTATCATTTACTCCGTCACCTAGCGACCGGTTAGCATGAATTCACCCAATTGATGCACTGAGAAATTTGTTTATAGTTACTGCCATTTAGATTAACCACTGTGGTGCGAGTAATGAGAGTAGAAATACCTTGACTGTTGAGAGAACAAGATTGGCATGTTTTTCTTGCCATTCTGTAAGATCCTGGCTAACGTTTGAGAGGCTGGGAGTATCAGAGATTGGTGAATCATCTGTGCATTAACAAACTCAAACGAGTCAGGAAACCAATAGCGGTTTTGCTTTTGAATAGAGTTCAAGCTTATACTTTCTTCCATTAAATTAATGCAATTTTTCAAGTTGGCCTTCTTTCTCTTTCTGCGAATTGTGATCTTTTATATAGTAATTATTCTTTTTCCTACTGAAAAGTTTCAAAACCCGGCAATTTGCATTTAATTTTGCCGCAATTTCTCGGCAATCAAAACAACTCAGTAGGATGAAAAATAGCATTTTTACCGGGCAAAGGGAAATCTTCAAAGGTGATTACAGTGATCCCCATGACGAATTCCCTCAGCTCTTGAGTAATGCCAAACCTCTCCAGATCCTTATCCTGCGGCCACACCTTAAGCTCAAAGGGAGTAATTCCCTCGGCGAGGGACTTGATTTGGTCAGCTCGCTTGGCGGCTTCAACTCGGATCACGTCAGCGCGCTTGGAAGCCTCGGCGGCAATCGTCTTGGACCATCTCTCCGTCTCGGAAACGATCTCGGAGAGATTGGAGGAGCCGGTGGCCAACTCGGACGAGAGCTTGGCAGCCTCTTTGGTCAGCTCCTGTGAACGCTTCGCAGCCTCTACCGCGAAGCTTCGCGCTTTGTGCCACAAATCCATTGCATTCAACTTCGCCCTATCTTCTTCCAATTCCTCTCACTCTCTCTCTCGATTGAAACTTTTTCCTTTGAAGTGGTTCCCTGCTGTTGGATTCTGTTGATGAATCTGTAACGATGACGACGAATTGACGATGAACAGGAGAAATGTTTAGATACTGACTGCTGACACACGGCCCATTTGTGCGCGCTTGATTATAACCGTTGATTGATCAGATTTTGAATTTTCAAAGTCAACAGAGTCCTTTACTGTAATTAAAGAATTTATAGATTTGGACCGTTAAAAGATACAACATTTATATCATGCAGAAAATTGAGATGCGAACTATCTCATAAATCTCCTGATTTAAAATGTTTAATATTTAAAGGTGACTTTTTTTTTTAAATTTTTTCTCTTAATTGTTATTCTTTGTAATAAATTTTTTTTTTATAGAATTAAAATAATATATATAAAATATATTTTTTAGCATTACATTTATTAGTATGGTAAATTAATATATTTTTTAAATAAATATAAAAAAAATATAATAGTAATATGGCAAATTCCTAATTTATCAAATTCATTGGACCGACTTCTCTTTTAGTTCAAGCAATAAGAATCTTCTCTCAAATACTACCAATTTTCAATTTTTTAAATTTATAATTAAATCTTAAAATTTTATGCAGAGGGAGGGTGGGGTGGAGAAAAGTGGGACCCACAGATGCAAAGAAGAAAAGCACCTCATACCCTCTGCGCACCGTTTAAAGTTGAGGATTCCAAAAAGCAAATGCACACTCTGCTCCGTTCTCATCATGCCACGTGGTGTAATAATTGGAAATGGACACGTGTCCTCCATCTGGGAGCAGAACACCGATCCTCTATTAGCGTGACGATTCACTCGATCTTTGCTCATTGACTTCACTATCTGAATGAAAGCACTCAACTCTGAGTCTCTTATATTAGTATTTGATTAAATGCATTAAATATTATTTATTAATATAAACTATAGGGAGAATTATCAATTCGAACAAATGTCTCCGTCCATGTCCAGATATAATCTAAATCTATGTTCCCTGACAGACAAAGTCCAGACTTTGGCTCTGGTTTTTGCTGCCTTTTAATCTCTTGTTTTTCTCATGAAACCAGACTAAAAATCAATATATACTTCACCGTTACGTATAATCCCGTCAGTTCTTTTGGAGGAAAGAAAAAACCCGTCTTCAGGAATTATCAGTAAATTCAAATTTACGAAACATGGAAAGCTTCAAAATTTGGTGGCATATCACAAGGTCAATTATTTTCTATTAAGTTTTTTCCACTTTATCTGATTACGAGTAATGGGTATTATTGGTTAGGTTTTTGAGTGTAAGTGTTTAGCTCTGAATTATATTCGTTAAATGAATTTTATCCTGATTTTGAGTTATTTTTCTGCATCCCATCAAGATTAGCCGTTGTCTTCAGATATTATTGTCTGGGTTTTTATCTTTTGTGAGTAGTATTTGTGTCTGTGAACGTTTTGATACTGATTCTGAAGTTCTATTTTTGGGTTTGTTTTTAGGGTTTGATTACTTTTTAGGGTCTGTGTTATTGGTAGAATGTTGGTGCTAAACATGAATTCGAAAAGACAGAGGCGCCCAAATGTTAGATTGGGAGAGATAGGAGATGTTTCTGCAGCTTTTGCATGTGGGGTTTCTCAGAAAACTGCGGGTGATTTGGGGCATAAGAGGTGGAAACCTAATTTTACATACCCTATTGAAAATGAGCTTGATATAGGTTCATCTAGACAAAAATCCTCTGAGTTTTTAGTTTCTGATCCGGGTGTGTCTCCAAGGGCTTCAGCTGATTTGCAACAGAACAGAGAGAATAAGAATCCGAATTCATTGAAACAGGGTTCTGATTTTGTTGGTTCAGATGATATGACTAACTCCAATTTGAATTTTGGGACGATAACCCGGAAGAGCAGGGTCATGAGGCGGAAGGGTCGGAGTTCTGTGAGCAATAGTGTGTTTGGTGGCGCATGGAGTTCTAAAGTTAGCCCTCGATTCAGCAGTGAAGATGGGAAAGCAAGTGGTGATAAAGAATTTGCTGGATTCACATTGGACGGATTTGGTGATAATGGATTTAAGGAATTATCAGATCATGAAACACCAGCTACGAGTAAAGAGGCTTGTGAATATGATGTGGATGAAACTGGTTATGATGTCTGGCAACAGGGTTATGCCAGTAATTGTTGGAAGGAAAAATTTTGTTATGAAGCAAACAATAAGCTTCTTAAATATGGACAAGGATCAGAGGAAACAAGATCCGAAGGTAGTGATGTAAATAACGTTAGGAGATGGTTGAAGGACCAAGGTTTTGGCAAGTACGCTGGCATATTTGAGATGCATGAAGTGGATGAGGAAGCGTTGCCTCTGCTTACACTGGAAGATCTCAAAGAAATTGGTGTATATGCTGTTGGACCTCGGAGGAAGTTGTACTCTGCAATACAGCAACTGAAAAGAGAAGAAACCTCTGCTTGAAAAGTTAATCGATAATGCTGGTATCTTTTTGTTCTTGCTTCTAGAAGCTGTTTTGTGCTGGAAAAGTCACAGACATGTATGTAACTTTTTTGGAATTTCTCTAACATGATCTTTTTTGTTTTACCTTGTTTGTCAATGAGATCAATACTTGCATCGTACCCCTTTGTACGTTTCAGACGGTTTTGTTTTTCTTGTGTTTTATTTCATCTTACTCAAAGGTTTGGATATCTCAAATTTTGCCGCTGAATGACAAATGCTGCTGGAAATAAAAGCAATGCTTTATCTTTCTCATACGGTTTCTGTTAAATCTGCCGTTATGTCATGTTTTCT